TTTTCTTACCTGAAAATAGTAATGCTAACAGAACCAGAAATGCAAACATGATCCAGCACACTAAGACTCTCTTGTAGCAAACATTGTATAATGTGAACCGGACATCATTTACTAGTAATTCCATCGCGTGAACGTATTCTTCTACGGTTAACTATGGGATAAAGATCCTTATATTAACTGATTATAAATAGCACAAGGTAAAATATAAATATAAAGAAATATGAATATAAATTCTTAGTTATGAAACATTACATAACAATTATCATAATACTTCAAAATATGGTACAATACTGATAATCAGAAATAATTGGATCAGATTTCAAAGATCAGATGCTACATTACCTATTGCAGAGTATGATATTAAAAAACCAATATTGAAAAGACTAATTGTCTATGACTACTAAAAATTAAGCATTTTATTATATCAGCATAGCTCTATCCAAAAAAAATTGATATTTATGCTCAATGTTAATATATAGACTATATTGATCACAATTATGAATTATAGAACTTTTTCTCGCTCAGTTTCATAATTTGAGCTGTTCAAACGATTGTCGAAAATAATTCACATATCAAAAATGTCTACACCAGAGAGGTATATATTAGGAATGATACATATTATCATTCTATTTTATTTTCAATTATTTTTATAACATTTGGAAAATTATATTTATTTTTATGCTTAATACATAAAATGGTAGCTTTCGAATATTCATTTATTCGCGTTAAAAACGCATTTTTTTTATTATATTATTAACTCAATAGTGTATTAGAAGGCAACCCACTTGTCTATATCTTTTTTATAATTTTACTATTAGAACATCTATAATTTATCTAATAGTGATATAAATTTAATTAAATGCAACAATACCTAGGAAAATTATTAAAATTACAGAAACTATTACCTTGTAATATCGATCATAAGTCTATTAATAGAGCAGTATTCATAATCCATATTAGTTTGTAAATAACATAATAATTCCTAATTTATTCATAAGTTAATTTTTCTTTAATGAATGATAAATGTAATTATTAATATTATTATATAGTAGAAAAATATATATATTTACCGTGAGGCCTTGTGCCATTAGTTCCTCCGGTACAAGTTCTGGTTTGAATTGTGCAGGAGTTACCCAGGGCCATCTTGTATTTACAGGTAATAAAGTAACCACGATATCACCATTAGCTGAAATTATAAATCAATTAGTCAAATATAATTTTCACTGAAAATAAATTAAGAATACTTCATACTATGTATAGACTCGTATGATTATAAATATACAAAAGTTTTATTTAATAATTTTGTAAACGAAATCTGAATATATAACCATTTATAAATTCTGAAATCAATCTTCAAGTACTGAATCATCAGAATAATTTATATAATTCTTTGAACATTTTATCGAAAAGATCATCATTATTGGATTACGATGGGAATTCTGGTATTCGACTTTTTTTATTTATTTGTCATATTCATTTAAGCCATGCTATTGTTTGGACATTTATTAAATCGTCTAGACAATGCTTAAATAAAATACAAACATTAAAAAATAAAACAGCAAACGTCAATATAAACATTACATAACATATATACCAAACATAATAATAAATAACACAATGCCATGTAATAAATAATATTAAAAATAGTTGATATAAGTTGTGTTAATAATAAATCATTGTTTAGATAGGATTTAGTTCATAATAAACTATTAAAGAAAAATACAAATAGATAAATATATGCAAATTCTATGCCAATTCGCATTTGATTAGATAATAATCAATAGTTCATAATTGCAGAATTACCAATATAATAAAGTTGCATAATGAAAAAAGCATTGCAGTCGTAATGAAATTAGCATAGAAATTAAATAATAAAAAATGAGTACCAAAATTATAATTTGTACTTTAAGTCATTACCATACCATTGCGTTTTGATGCATGTTGAATTTTTATTTTTAAGTAAATAAAACTAAAAAAATGTTATTATAATAATTTTTTATTATTATTATTAAATAAAAGGAAAATAAAATGTTTCTGAACACGGAAATAAAAAATATTACGATTTATATTTAGTAATTATATTATATTTATATTTAGCTATTTATATTCAGTTAATATAAGTATTTTTATTCCATAGTTAACCGTAGAAGAATACGTTCACGCGATTTATCAAAGGTAAATTGTTCAAAATTGATTGAAACTAAAAGGGTTTTATTAACGTTGCCAAAAACTTTTTTATTCATCTATTGGTCAAAGAAAAGAGTATAAATCAGGAAACTTTGTCAATAAACTTTAACAAGAGTTGTTTAAACTGATGCCATTGATTTAACTATATAACGAGACAAAGAACCTCTTTTGGTAAAGATTTCTCATTGAAGAAATTCTTCTTAAAGTTAGGGTAAACTATCTTTTCAAAGTAAAGGTAGGGCTGACAATCTTACAGAATCTCAAGTTTCCGATTAAATTTATTAAACAATAATAAAAAATCAAACAAAAATGTATTAAATAACTATTGGATCGATCCGCATAGATCATACGAATTAAAATATGTGGTCAATTGATCTAGCTAAATAATAGGACAAAAAAAATTTATGAATAATTATTTCTTATTGGAGAAATTCTGCTTTATATCGTGTACTCTCAACTGATAACAGAATCTCAAGAATCTGTTTAAAATAAATATATTGAAAATAATTTATAAAAAATAACTGTTAATAACAAAGAAATCCGAGGAAAACTAGAAAGTAAATTGATCTACCTAACCTAACTGATAGACCAAAGAGACTCTATTAAGGACTATTTCTCATTGGATACATTCTGCTTATCATCATATATTTTCAGCTGATGATCTTACATAATCACATATTGCAGATTGCAGATATATTAAACAATAATAATAAAAAACAACTTTAAGAACAAAAAAATCCTGGTATAAGTAGACTTCAAGAATATATGGGCAATTGATCTTCCTAACTAATATGACAAGAAAACTATCTATTGACGATAATTTCTCATTGGAGCAATTCTGCTTATCATCATATACTTTCAGATGGTGATCTCTTGCATAAATCTCATATTTCTCATTGAATATATTAAACAATAATTAAAAATAATTGTTCATAACAAAAAATTCCAGGTAGAGGTAGACTTAAAGAAAATAAGGGCAATTTATCCACCTAACTAATAAAACAAGGAGACTCTATTAAGAACAATTTCTCATTGGAACAATTCTGCTTAACATCATATAGTCTCCAGCTGGTGAAGTTTCATAATCTCAAGATTCTGATTCAAATATATTAAACAACAATAAAAAAACTATTAGTAACAAGGAAATCCAGATACAGGAAGACTTAAAGAAAATATGGACATTTGATCTAATTAATATGACAAGAAACCTCTACAAGTGATGATTTTTCATAGGAACAATTTTACTTAACATCATATATCAAGTCTCCAGCTGATGAATTTATATAATTTAAGATCGTTGCACGTAGAACTTGAAGATCAACTGATCTAACTATATAATAAGACAACGAACCTGTATTCAGAATGATTTTTTAAATTCTGCTTAACGTCATATACTTTTAGTTGATCTAACTGTAATATTAATAATATTAAAAATCATCAAATAATATTAAAAAATAACTATTAATAATAAAAAACGGCTCGATATGAAACAACGCAGTGAAGACGTCAATTGAATTTTATAATTGACTTTTATATTTTTTAAACGTTGTAGTCAAAGACAGAAAAATCTAATTTGCTAACATAAGACAAAAAACAAAATAAAAAGGGAAAGAAACTCAATAAAAGAAAAGAATTCATAAAGATTTATTGTTTAAAAAAATATGTTTTGTTTTATATTTATATTATATTCATAAGCTTTGATTAAATGATTAAGCTATAGTAATCGCAAAAATCTAAAATATATGTAAAATATTTTTTTGCATATACTTGCTGATTAGCTTTTGACAAAGACAGGTCCAGCTGTTTCGAATATACAAAGTAAGAGTACGGAGTTTTTAAAATAATTTGAATGAATCCACATTTTATTTGTAATGATGGAGTGAAAAATTGATTACATTTTTGCGAAGTTAAAAAAAATCATTTGTTGGTCAGAAGCAGTTACTACAAATCATTATTATTGATTCCATGTAGAACCAGATGCATAATTCTACATGTATCTAGATGACAGATAAGTGAACAGGTAGACAGGTGTAGTCGGTGAAAAAATTGCGTTCGCATACACATACACACACACTTCTCTTTATTTTTATATCAAACTACTCAGAATTATAATTATAAACTTTTCATAATTATATTACCTAATTGTAATAATAATATAAAAGCTTTATAAGTTAGGTAACCGTTCAGTTGTCATCAAAATACAAGGAAGTTCGAGTACAACATCTCATAGGACAAAAGTTCTGAATGAAGTTAGAAGACATAGATGATAATAAGAATAGCAAAAACGATTCAGAATGACATGAATAAAATCATAAAAATATCAAACCGAAATTTGTGGTAAAATTATATATTTTATGTTTGTCACATACACCAGCGTCCGTGTCCGTCCGTCTATGATGGCATCATCTACCTTTACACATATGTCGCCGGTCGCATGAATCATTCCTCACATATCTTTTGTTAGCTCGTTTGTCCGGTTATCGCGTCAAATAAAACTCCATACAGAATTACAATGAAGGTGTATATGGTGTATGGTAACATGACTCGAACTACGTAACTCGAACACGTGTTTACATTACAACTTTATCGAAACCAAAATCACCGACGACAAAACGCACGAGGAAATACTTACACCTACAATTTCAATTGCTGTGAGAAACTTGCAAACTTAAGAGTATGTTATATTAATTTTACTATATTTATATTTGTTGTAACGTTGTGCCGTTGTGTAATGGAAAAGAAAACAATAGACTAGCAAACACTGGTGTCAATTTCGATCCCAACATCGGATGTATGAGATTAGAAATAAAGGGATCATTTTTTAATGAAAGATAATTTTACATGTACTGATTTGAATTTTTAACTTCGCGCAGTGCAAGTTATAGTGATCGCAAAAAATCGAAATAATTCGTAAAATATATTTTTTTTGCTTATAGAGGTAGGTAGAGATATCTCAAAAACCGATATAATAAAAATGAAAATCAAGTCAAAAAAAGCAATTTTACAAAAGATAAATTAAATACATAATTATTCCCACCCTACTGTTGAATATTTCTGACGTAATACCAGATCAAGATTATTTACAGTGTTATTTGTGTAAAATGGCACCCTTGAAATTCATATGTCGCATTAGTTGAATAATGTAGCTATTATTTTGTGATTAAAATTAAAATAAAACATTGGACCTGTTTGCCCCCTAACCGTCTCAAGTTACCCCGCCTATGAGGTAAGAAGAACCAGGTTACAAATATTTGAAAAACAACATCAAAACCACATTTTTACAATAATGAAATACTGAACAAAATCAGATAAATTTTTGTTTCGTTTATGTTCTTTGTTGCGATATTATTGGTTTGGTTTTCACAATATAGTTGCTCAAAGTCAAATTGGATCTTTGTGCCCCGCCATAACCAGCGTGGTAATGAGTTTTTGGCAAAGACATGACTTGTTCTGGAGATACAAAGCAAAGTGTGCAAAAATGGCAGTTTTTTTAAAGAACAGAGTTTTTTAAATGATTGTAATAAATCCACATTTTATTTGTTTTGACGGAGTAAAAAATTTATTACATTTTTGCGAAGGCAGGTCTAGCAGTTTCAGAGTTGCAGAAAAAAAAGTTCAATAACAGCATTTGTTGGTCTAAAACCAGATGCATATTTCTACATGTATCTAGATGACATGTAAACAGGTGAACTGATAGGTAAGTGAACAGGTAGACAGGTGAACAAGTAGAGAAGTACGAATGTCGACAGATTATACAGATCTACAGGTTTAAAAGTAAAAAAGTGGACAAGTAGGCATGTCGCCTGGTAGATAAATTTACTAATAAACAGGTAGACAGTTAAATAGCTAGACAAGTAGACAGATAAATTTTTGGATAGGTAGACAGTTATATAAATGTAGAAAAGTTAAAACTCTGATAGGTAGTCACTTAGGCAGGATCATCACTTGGACAGGTAAACAAGTAAATTGTTAGACAGGCGGATCATATAAAAATCATAA